TAAAACACTGGCATCTGCCAAGTTTTTCAAGCAGGTCGTTGATATTGTTAACGGATATTTATCGTCAATAGTCTGTTCATTTGATTTTGGGTAGTCAATTACAACTCTCTCCATTTTTGCTTCCCCGAAGCGTCTAGCTTCTTTGGATTGACCCAGATAGGTGAATTATAACCTGAGCTACTTGGACGTATTATATTGGAATCCAACATTTTTTGTATTTGGCTATTTACTTCGCCTCTGTGATCAAATGGATAGCGATACGATTTTGTGTAAATGGGCCTTTCGTTTTTGGTTTTTATTTGATGTTTGGCTTTATTAGTAAATGTTAGTGGAGTTCTGTCCCGGTAAAAAATGTCTGAAAACTCTCTGCAAAGTTGAAGTATCTTTGATTTCTCTTCAGAATTTAGGTGATCAATCCTGATTTTCGACAAATCTAGGTCAAATTTTTCTGATGTGTCTAAATAATTGAGATCAATTTCTGGCATTTCTGATCAATTATATGATTCTACTAAAATGGGCTGAGAAAAATTTAATGTAACAGGCTTAGTAGTGTTATTCAAAATCGTTGTCAGCGCAAAATTATTTTTTGCTATCGTAAGGCATTCAGGTATCTCGCAATTATGAAATTTTTGATGAGGAATTACGATTTCACCATTTTCGATCGATGTTTTGATTTTTATTACTTGTTCGGTTCGAGGTGAGACGGTTATCAAATTTAAGTCGTTAGAAAGCTGGTGAAATTTTAGTCTAATTTTCGCGTAGGGCGTATGTAAAGTTTCTTTTGCTTAAATTAATATCGGCTCTCACTAATTTTAGACTATCTAATCCAATCAATCGATCGAAAATATTGTGAAATTTAAATAAGTAAAACCTCAAATCCATACGATTAGGAAGATTGAAAATTTTTGATGTCGGGATGGATGCACTATAGTTGTGAGTGGATTTTTTAAAAACAGTTGATACAACAAATGGATCATCTCTGATTAGTTGATCCAAAATCGATCAACATTTTAATTCCATATTCGGGAAAAAGAATGTAGGATAGTACGCTAGCATTGCTGGCGTTAAGTGAAATTACCTCTGGTACTAGTTTTGTGGTCTATGAATGAGTCCTTGAGGTGGTTTTACGTGATCAGTTTCAGGATTATCTTGTGTGTAATACTCGCAAGATTGATCAGTGAAATATGTATCTGAATTTTGTGGTTCAGCTACAGTTTGATCGCAAACTTCATAGGTATTATTACTTTCTGTCTCTGTATTGAATAGCTCTTCAGCGATCCCATTTGGTTTTGATTGTTGCTGGGCTGTCGAATTATGTTCAGGTTTGAAATGAATTCTAGTAGAAGTACTCGTTGGAGTAGTTGGTGGCAAAGTACGGTTAGGGTTAGGTTTGAAAACATTTCTGTTATTCTGTGTTTGTCTAAAAACCTAAGAATTCATCGGAAATCTCTGAGGACGATAAACTGGCCTTGGCAAGTTTACAGGTCCAGTCGGAAAAGTCGAATTGAATCTAGGTTGAAATGTTGAAGTGTTCGGCTGACTGAATGAATAATTAGTAGGCTGAGAGTAGGAATGTCTATTTTGATTAATCATTGGCCTTTGCATTGGCCTGGAAGTTTGATTCTGTGGCACATTTTGTGATTTATTCCAAAATTTTTGTTATAATTTTGGAAATAGCTGACATTGTCTTCAGATATAACGAACTGTAAAGATTGGCTGAGAGATGTGGGTTTTTTACATCTAATTGTTGTACCCAAGGGCTCTCATAGTCCGCACAAAAATGTTTTCAGAGCTAATTCTTGATATAAATTTCTTTTTAACACTTTTCTTCTTCAGAAGCAGATTCAAAATATGAAGACATTTATCATAAAATTTTTGAGGCGTTTCATTTGGCATTTGCCTCAACATAACCAAATCACGGCTTAGACAAGTTTCATCTCTTTGATCAGAAAAAATCCTAATCAGAATGTCTTTTAAATCTGCCCAACTTGTGATATTTTGGATATTCACAAGCTCTTTAGCATTTCCTTTTAATTTCGAGATTAGTGAATTTAGCAAATAGATATTTTGGAAATTATGTGGGTTCCGAATATCATAAAAATTTGCAATTAACGTTTCACTCACTGATAGAAACCTATTTAAGTCATTAGGATTTCCGTCACACTCTGGGACGCAATTAAAAAATTCTGGTCTGAATTGAGATATGCTTAGAATATTTTCAATATTTAATCTAGGTAGTCTTAAAATAAGTGAGTCTGTTGAAAGTGTCAAATTATCTATAGCAAGATTTTCCAAAGACATTTAAAATGTATAGTTGCACGTACGCTAATACGAGGATGATCAAGTGCATTACGTTTCTTTCTTTGTCTTTACTTGGTTGCTTAACTACAAGGGGAAGATCTTGGTTAGGCGATCTGGTCCTTCTCCAAAATGTTCCGCTTGCACATTTTGCGATGTGTGGTTCAAATCCCTGACTTCGTAGGTGGTAGCTGCGATTCCGCTCGAACTCCCACTCACCAAAGTCTTTAGTCCGTAGGCCGTTTTTCCGGTAAATTCGTCGATACGAAAACTGCTTTCGCGGTCTCGATTGATTCGCGAAACAGCCCGAAAATCCTACTCTGGCTGCGCCAATTATCTGACCGAGTCACTCTACTTGCTTTTTAAAAAGATTTATTTTCGATTATCAAAATACAATTCTATTAATGTATATAGTATGAGCGCCAACAACAGACAACTAACTGGAATACAATAAAATAAGACTGGATAAGGCAAAGTGCTGATCCAGGGAAACTCGATCCTCTTCTTTAGTGATAGGGGTAAATCTTCTGTACTATAAGCGTTCGCTGTCGCGTATTCGTCGTGTTCGGCCAGAATATCGCCAAGAACGAAGCTGGTGCTTGTTGCACCATGATGCACCATCTCACCGATCGACGCTTGTGTCCGATTTACAAAAAATTACATTTTAACCATCTAACCAGTTTCTATATCCTCCTGATATGACACCGTGTGACTATTTTCTGTTCGGTAAACTACATTTGGCCATGGAGGGACAGCAGTATGCCGACGTAAAGGGTTCCAAAAAGGCGACCATTTTGAAGGAGATCCCGGTCAATGAGCCAAAATCATCATTCGAAAATCTTTTGGTTCGTGCAAATCGATATATTAACTCCGAAGGAAAATATTTTGAATAAAATAAATTCAATTTTTCGAAACAAAAAATATTTGTTAATTTTTTATTTGTCCTGTTTATTTTGCGACAGACCTTGTACATAATGTAAATGTTACAAGGTGTAACTAGTATTCTCTGCTAGCAAAACGGTTTCATCGGATGAAAGTAACTGAAATCGTCGCACTGCAATTAGGTTCTACAAAAATAGGTACTGTTTCCTCAAGACCTGTCGCTTGAAGTTTTCCGTTGTAATAATAAGTGGTCTAGTGTCTAAAAAATAATTTCAATTTCGAAAGCCAAAACCCTTGACAAAATCAATCTGGCGTTAAGATCTTGACACTACGTTTTCGTAAAACGTAAGCTGAGCTGTGAAAGTCAGATAAGCTTAAATATGGAACCTAGTGAAACGTATCCTGCTGGTTTTATCGTCATAAGACATACATGCAGTTTATTCGGCCAGACAATCTTAAGAAGCCCCTGGTTTGCGATGTAATTATAAAGCTGCAAGTTGTTCAAGGAGGAATTCAAAACATGGACGCATAAAATGGGAACATCAGTTTTTGTGAGAAAACACGTAACTCGACAAACACGTGTTTTTTGGGATTCAATCGAAAATGTAGGCAGAAACGGAAAAACTCTCCATATAAGGCGTTTAGGTATTTATGAGACTTACAAAATGAGACCACACGTAAAAAGATCCGACTAATAGCAAAAATATTATTGCCGCAAAAACGAAGCAAAATGCGGGTTTTGGCACTTGCTGGTAATGCGACGATGGTTTCTCGCACATATTATTCTTCATATCCATAGGATTCGTACTCCTAAATAACGGCAACAAAATTGGAGTAGTTTGGTCAAGTAGTTTTTGAGAATTTCTTATTGTTTATCCTAAAACGCCTGTTTTCCGGCCAGCACTATACACACATAAATGTTATTTTTATGCAAAAATGGATGGGTTTTTTTTTCTAAACAAATTCAAACATTTCGTATTTGTGAGTAATTCGCAACAAAAGATGATAGACACATTCGCTTTGTTTTGAAATGTGTATAGTAACGTATGTTTTTCGAATATCGTGAAGCATGTTCAATTGCTCACAAATACGAATTGTTTGAATTTGTCTAGAATAAAAAAACGTAACCCTTATTTTTCGCATAAAAATAACATTTATCTTTTGGAATGGTTTGTGATTCATATCGGCAAGCTAAACACGCTATTAAACGCTCTTTGAACGAACCCTGTATATTGCTCAATAAACTAGTAGTGATCACCGGAAAACAGGTGTTATATATTCTCAAAAAACTGCTAGACCAATGTAATCCAATTTTGTTGTGGTTATCTAGAAGTACGAATCCTAAGAATCTGAAGAATTTCAAATATCTGCGCTAAAACCTGCAGTTTGCCTCGTTTTTCGGACATAAATTTTTTGCTATTAGTCGGACCTTTTTACGTGGTAGGTCTCATAGGTACCTAAAAATCTTTTATGAAAAGTTTTTTTCGTTTATGTTAACACTTTCGATTGAATCCCAAAAAACACGTTTACTCATTTTTTTTGTCAAACAAAAATTGGTGTACCCATTTTATGCGTCCATGTTTTAAATACCCCCTTGAACAACTTGCATCAATAATACCAGACTTTACAATTATTTCGGGGAAATTTGCTAATATCATGACTTATGAACTTTTTCCATATTGTGACCAATTACAATTATCAATTTTCTAAGTCGTCAGACAAGTCGTTAGGATTGGATCGTAAACTTATAACGATATGTTTACGTAATATCACAGATCACACCACATGTTACGATTTTGAAGTTCCTATGTCTGCTACAGGTTGCGAAAATACAGCTTTCGACTCTGGTGAGTACTGGGAATGCGCAATCCGATCCATACCATCATCCATGTGGAACCAGCAATCTGCCTGCAAAATGGGACCAGAGACAGACAAAGAGGCAGTCGTGGATTCATGACTCAGGGTGCATGGGATCAAAAACTTGAGAGTCGTCGATACCAGTATATTTCCTACTACGGTAGAAGCACATACTGTTGGTCCAGCTTACATGGTTGGAGAAAAAGCTGCTGATATTATCAAAGGGTATTGGAAAATACCATCAAATTCAAAGCTTAATGTCAAATACTTTCAAAGTACAGTTCTATTCATAAAAAAAGCGTACACGAATTAGAATGAGAGGAAACCTTAACCTTATTTGCGTAAAACCGGCTTGTCTAAATGATTGTTTATTGGAGGTTATCACACGTCGTAGATTGTCAAAAATGCAAAGCATTGACGTCGGTGTAATTCATTTCGAAAATGCGTGGTGGTAACGTTTGATAAACTTTGACAGAAGAAAATAAAAATGCCTCGTCAGTTGTCTGACGTTGAAAAGGCTCAAATTGTATCAAGAATCGAAGAAGGATGGTCAATCCGTGCTGTAGCGCAGTTGTATAATAGAAATAAAAAAACCATATTGAAAATTAAGCAACGCTGGGAACAGGAAGATTCCCTAAAGAGGAAAATTGGTTCAGGTCGTCCCAAACTTACCAACCCTGAACAGGATGCTGCTTTTTTGGGATATTTAAGAAATAATCCATTTGCAACTGTAAGGGATGCTGTTATTGATACAGCATTTCCTGCCTCCCAACCTACCGCCAGCAGGAGAGTAATGAAATCTGAACTAATATGTCACCCTGCTGCGAAAAAAATGTTTCTTAACGAAGAACGGCGACAATCAAGGATTATTTTTGCTTTAAATTATATATACCGCAATCCTCAATTTTGGAACAGGGTCATTTTTACTGATGAAAAGACGTTCCAGTCGACTTATAACGGCCAAATTCGTGTTTACCGTCCAAACAATACCAGGTTTGAAGAGCGATATACTAACCCCCTCAATTCTAGACCTGGGCGTTTCTCTGTAAATGTATGGGGCTGGATAAGTGTTCATGTACCTGGTGTTTGCTGGCGAATAGAGGGAAGATTTAATGCCGGAAATTACATTAACATTTTAGAAAACATATTGTTACCAAGTGCTGAGCAAATATATCCCAATAATACGTTCATATTTCAACAAGATAATTGTCCAGTTCATACGGCCAATGCTGTAACCCACTGGTTTCAAACCCATAATGTGGAAGTGCTGCCTTGGGTCGCTTATAGTCCCGATATCAATCCAATCGGAAATATTTGGGGTATACCTAATCGTAAAAAAATATATAATCGAAATTTTAGGCCACAAAATTCAGAAGATTTATGGGAAATAATACATGCGTGCTGGGAAGAGCTTGATCCAAATATTGTATCAAATATAATTCAGTCAATTCCGAATAGACTGGCTCAAGTAATAGAAAAACAGGAATATATGACCAAATATTAGATTTTATTTATTCTTGTTAATCGTTTTTTGTTTCTATTGTAATTTTTATAAAACTGTTAAGATGTAAAATAAAGAAATACATTTTTGTTACTGTATTGAACTAATGCCCGACGCCCATGCTTTGCATTTTTAATAACCTTTAACATGCGATAAGCCGGTTTTACGCAAATAAGGTTAAGGTTTCCTCTCATTCTAATTCGTGTACGCTTTTTTTATGAATACAACTGTAGATAGTTACAATTTTGTTTTATTATCTGGGCATTGATTCACCTTAGCCGATCCTATTCCAGCTACTATCGCAAAACGAAACCACTGATGTTGAAGCGAGAGCATACTAACGTTTCGGCCACCTCGGTGGTCTTTTTCAAAATTTAATTGAAGAGTCAATATACTTGACGCCGATAAGCCTCATTAAAGCTACTGTCTTAGATTGATTTGATCGAACACTGTAAGTACTCTCAATCAGTGATGCTGTTGATATCAGAAAACAATTTCAAGTCATCGGCAAACATTAATGTTTCATAATGAACATCGTTAATAAAGAGAAAAATAAGCAATGGTCCGAAATTCGAACCCTGTGATACCCCTGAAGACGCTGTTTAGCAAAAATGCTCGAAACCGTTGTATGATGTGAATAGCTGACGATTATGTAAATAGGACTCTAATAAAGATATCGAGTTGACAGTGAAACGAAGCAAGTTCAATTTAGCAAGAAGTATTCCGAGATCAACTTGATCCTGGCGATCCAAGATATTTTATGCTATATGACAACAAATGTTGGTGACAGTTGATCTACCATTTATAAAACCATGTTGATATTCAGGTATACGAGGTCTTTAAATTAGGTAATGAGATGTTTCAATCTTTTCGACTATCCAGGTGATTTTTCAACTTCGAGCGGAGAAAAAAGTCACAAGGACTCAAGTCAGGCGAATGAGGATAGACTTCTCCAGCCGCAGGGATGTTTTTACTGGCCAAAAAGTCGCTTATCATGACACCAAGTTGTTCTTGATCTGATGAACGGTTATGTAAGTCAAATTTAACTCATCCCCGATCATTCCGTGTCTTATCTACTACAATTTTTAATTTAAAAATTCTTAGGAATGGTGTTCAATTTCATGTTTTGAACAGAGATTTTACATATTCGTTTTTATTGGCACGAGAGTGAGGAAGCTCGGTAGGCTCAACAATAACTATGAATATCAAATTAGTTAACTCACCGCCAAATCTTTTATTGGATAAATATAGTCGCAATAATATAAAAGCAGTATTTTCCATATTATGCTCAACTGGGTATTCCTTTTAGTCAAGAATCTGCTCAAATCACACCAACTATGAGGGTGTCGCATCTGTATAATCTGTGGTTAAGCAGAAAAGTCCGGTTCATATTCTCCCTGGTATTGTGAAAAGCTGAGTAAAATTTAAGTAAGCAGTCCTACTATTTCCAGTATCAGGTAATCTGCCATTGCTGCTGTTTGATGAACACAGTTTTCGTAATTTTCGCCTTCTAGAATCACGCTATACCGGTCTGACCTGCTATAGGCGACACCCACTACTTGGCAATGGTAGACAAATGAGCTAGAAAAACCTGCACAGTTTTGGTAACAAATCATGCAATGTAAAGATATAGGGCTCGCGATAATTCATTTTACGAGTTCTAAAGGCGGGTTTACAAGCTACGTCTTATTGTACGTTTTGTCGGGCATATAAAACGTACGACAAAACGTACGTTTTATCCTGTGTATACACACTAAGTGTTTCCCCTTCCGCTTTCTACTACAGTTCCAATCTAGACTCTTGAGTTGTGTGTCTAACCCCTACTGAGCGGGGCCGTGGCAAATGCTTGTTCTGGAAGTTGTTGTATCCAGTATATAACTTCTTCCCGTTCAAGTGATTGAACACGCGTTAAGGAATACCTCAGTACCGATTGCCGGGTGGCGGTACAAGTCCGCCAACAGGCCACTTTAGGTCTATTTAATATCACTAACACGTAAAGAGAAGGTGGTAGACAAGGACCAGTCGACCGAGGCGGTACCACCCGCTAGCTTTTCCCAGGGTGTCTTATAAATGTCCGCATGTTTCCACACCTAAGCTATGCAGTTGGTTATCTTCCAAAACAAAGAAACTAATGATGATGGATCCCTCGAGCACTAAGAATTCCGGACGTAAACTCACTCCACTCTCGGAATGTCCGGGTGGAGGGTGGGCTCGAGGGAACAACATCGAAGATAAAATTTGTTTTACAAACATCTGCGGGACTAACAGCAAGACTGATGCTGTTCATCACTACCTGCAATCCAATCGTCCCGCCATGCTTTTCTTGGCGGAGCTTGCACCGATTCACCATCTTATCTTCCCAAACTACGAGATGCACTCCAATCTGAGAAATAACGGGGGAGTTGTGACTTTTGTCCGCAGCAGTCTTTCCTGATCCAGAGATTTTTTTTTGGAATCAAACCGGAAGAACATTCTGTGGCTCCGCCTCAACTTCAAAACAACACCCAAATTTATTTGCTGCCTTTATCGCTCTCCCTCAGACCATAAATGGGATGACCTACTGGAATACCTCGTCGTCAAGATCGTCTTCCTGAACATCAATCACCCCGCTTCAGAGGTAGTTCTTCTCGGTGATTTCAATGCCCATAATGAGCTTTGGTTGGGCTCAAACAAGACCGATGCAGCAGGTCGTGCAGTCGAAGCGTTCGCTCTTACTCAAGGGCTGACCCAGCTGGTGATGAGCCCTACTTTTTTCCCCCGCGTCTCGTCACACGCCAGTAGCCTGTTGGATCTCTTTCGGACCATGCATCCTGTCCCTTACAGCACTGCTGTCCTGTCCACCCTGGGTAACTCAGACCATGGTGTTCTGGAGGTTAGCTTTCGGTCAGAACCCGCTGTGGCAGCAGAAACTCGTACAGGCTGCAAAACTTGCTCAGACACTTCTTCTCTAGCTTTCGTTGGAGAGATGCCTGTTTCACTGACGCGGATGCGTCGGCTGTATGTTCTTCGATAACCGAAATTATCCACGTCGGAATACATCCCTCACACAGTGAAAGTGCCTAAACCAGGGTCCAACGGCTGGCTTAACAAATCGTGTGACACTGCTCGCCAGCAGAAGATCAAGGCACACAGAACCTTCTTACAAAACCCCACTGTAGAGAACAGACAAGCCGACTTCGAGTCCTTAAACAAATATAATGAAGCGGTTCGCAACGTAAATAACCAGCACGATATAAAAGTTAGGCACAGGGTAATGTCGCAGCGCAATGGTAGTCGGTCTTTCTGGACGCTGGCCAAGCAGATTGAAAAAACTTCTCACACAGTAGCCTCCCACCACTTACGTGTCAGGATGGAACGATTGTATTCGACTCAAAGGCCAAGGCGGAAGTGCTAGCCAAGATCTACCATACCCTCCAACGCCCAAGTGCCGACAATTCAAAGGGTTACCTACACTATGCTGGAGATAACATTCAGGCATACGACCGTAAGACGATTGCTCTTGTCGCTAGACATCAACAAAGCTTCTGGCATCGACTTGATTCCTGCCATTGTACTGAAGAGGTATGCAGCGGAACTTGCTCCAGTTCTTTCGCGACTCTTCCAGATATCTTATGAATCCCGCACCTTCCCAGAAAACTGGAAATTTGCTCATGTCCAACCCATCCCAAAAAAAAACTACAACTACAGGCCTATAGCTCTGCTTTCTGTTCTAAGTAAGGTGATGGAGAGGTGCATAGATCGCGAGCTTCTGGACTACCTCGAACGTCACAGCTTGATTAGCGACAGGCAGTGTGGTTTCCGGCACCAACGATCCACAAGGGACCTCCTAGCTTACGTCACTGTGGAGTAAACTCATCCAGTCTTATGGTGAGGCCCATGTCGTTGGTCTTGACATCACGAAAGCGTTCGATCAGCTGTGGCACGCTGCCCTTTTAAGCAAACTTCCATCCTATGGCCTCCCAGAAAAGCTTTGCTTTGCAGATGGGTGGCTGACTTTATCTCTGGCCGCAAGGTATCCGTCGTAAATAATGGGATGTCCTCTTCATCCCGCAAGGTCAACGCGGGTATTCCCAAGGGATTGGCCTTGGCTCCGACACTGTTCTTCTTGCATATCAACGACCTCCTGTCCTGCACGATCAACCCAATACACAGCTTCGCGGATAACAGCACACTATACATGAAGAAATTCAGATTGAGAAGCCGATCTCTGCCGCTGAGCTGAAAAAAAGAAGGCTAGCGACGACATCCCCTCTGACAAGAGACCTGGAGGCTATCAGTGCTTGGGGATGCATCAATCTTGTACAGTTCAATGCTTCCAAAACACAGTACTGTACTTTGACGAACAAAAAGCGTCCTAGCGCTCATCCGGTTTGCATGGATGGCCGAGTTCTGTCAAAGGGCCATTCATTTCGGCTGGCCGGAGTCCAGATCACCGAGGACCTGATCTGGCACGAACACATCTCGTCAATAGGGGCAGCTGCTGGGAAAAAGCTAGGCTATTTGTTTAGGGCTAAGAAGTACTTTTCTCCGCATGACCTTCTCTATGTAAGGCCCAGGTAAGGCCTAGCCTCGAGTATTGCTTACACGTTTGGGCTGCTGCCGCCCCGACTACATTATCCATGCTCGATGCTGTCCAGATGAGGGCGGTCCGACTGATAGATGACTCTTCGCTAACAGTCTCGGAACTCTTTCGCACCGGCGGGCCATCGGCGATCTAGCTCTTTTCTACCGCTACACCAACGGGCTTTGCTCCTTGGAGCTCTCGTCCATGATGCCGCCGCGCGATGTGCTGCCAGACAGACCCGCCTAACTTTGGCGTCCCATCCTAACCATGTCGAACTTCCAGAACCGGCCGATACGACAGCTTCTTTGTCCCGAGAGTGTCGAGACTGTGGAACAATCTACAAGAGGAAGCTTTTTTCACTTCTACTAACCTTAGGCAGTTCAAAAATCGTATTAACAAAATTTCTTTGGGATCATTATAGCAGCTGCGGTGTTCCGGCATTTAGGCTTCTGTCTGCGCGGCTGCTTCGATATGTAAAAAAAAGAAGTTTGTTTAGTGAATTTTTTGATAGACACTTTTTTGTTATGGAGGAAACATGGCTGCTTTCTTTTATTTTTTCAACTATAAGGATACAACGACTGAGAGGAAAAGGGATTAAGAGGGAAAAGGCAAGATGGTCAAGGGAGTGGCTTCTGAAAAGAAGGCGGTATTGCCAGGTCTCGTTATTGAAATAACTGAAAAGCGAACGTGATAACTGGCGCAACTATTTGAGAATGGATACCTCAGTTTACTTTTTATTTGCCATCGGGTCTATTTCTTTGTATTTTTTCATAAGACCCTCATACGCGACGTTTTTTTATTACGGTCACTATAGTCTTTATTTTTCACCTGCCACAAACACGGAAAACTTTTATACATTTCAATGAATTCCTGGAGAAAATCGTGGGTGCATTGCCGCAAGTCTGACATTAATAGGTTTTTTTTGAAAAATGGAAGCGAACTGAAGTGGAGCTACTCGTGAATGGAGCCAACATCGGAAGTGTTGTCTGAACATGAGTCTACACGTTTCGTTTTGTCCTATCAGTTCTCGAAAAATGAAGGTTCTCCCATCAGTTTTTCAATCTGTCGTTGGATTTCATTTCGATTCGAAAAGACGTACGTTTTGCTGTTTACGCGCCACGTTTTATTGGATAGGATTTGTCCTGTCCCACAAAATGTACAATAAGACGTAGCGTGTGAACCCGCCCTTCACAGACATGAGGCAGTCACGAACACTGCGTTCCATTTTACGAAGATTACTTGTAGGTGAAACATGTATTTCGATAATTCGTATTGTTGATGAAGCATTGCTTTTGTGAAGTTTGGAAGCCTAATAAGAAAAAAAGATACTGGGTGCTTCCGATTAACTGTGAGAGAGATGATAAAGGAGAGCTTAGTGTTCCGGATGTCATTAAGTAGTTTTAATGGATTACATAATTATATAAAAAAGGAAATAGGGAAACAACTTACCAACTGGAGAAAGGCTATATCTACAAAAGAAATATTAGCCATGCTGCATTTTTTTAGTTTGCGTTACTAAGATCATATAAAAATCGCCGTTCCCTTAGCAAATCAATTAATTTTTCTATGAAAGCCATCTTGCGAATGAGACATTCTACGACTTCTTTGTATTTCTAACGATATAACGCGAGCGTTCACACTGACCGGCGCAGTCTGACTGACCGTGGAACAAAGAACGCGGAACTCGGAACGCTTGAACGCTTTCTGCCTACGCGAGCCCTATGACTTGGCCCCTTCGAGTTAGTTGATCCACTGGATAAAGCATTGCAAGCCAAACAAAAAACATCCTTGCAATCTGGACTTTCTGACCTATTTTTTACATATAAGAATAGCTTATTTGTCTTTTTGAATCACATTTTATATTAGACATTGTTACTTCTGGATAAAAATACATATAAACGTGCATATGAATTAGTTGATATTTGCTTTCTCACAAAACAGAACAAAACAATCTCTTGTTTTAAGCATAAACAGTTGTAGGCTTTATAGCCAACGTTTATAAATGCGTGGTTATAAATGCATATATTTGTATGTACCTCAAAAATTTTGGTTAAATATGGTGTTTCGTAAGAATCTGGTCTTAAGTCCATTGTATTTTATATCAAATGATGAATGAGTATCTATCCAACTATTATAGTTGTTATTTCTA